GATATCGTAACACTGCACTCACTGGCCATAGACAATACGATTTGGCAGCCGAGTCATTTGTTTCTGCAGAAACGGACCATATACCAAGTGCCTTACATTCATGACCTCCTTCAGCCACATATTCCATCAAGATCATTAAGATCCTCAGATTGTGCATTGCTCACTGTCCCATGGTCTAGGTTTCACATTTGGGGCAACAGTGCCTTTGCGATTGCGGCACATAAACTCTGGAACTAGTTGCCCTTTGAGGTCAGGACTTCTGAGATACTACAGATCTTCAAATCTCGACTAAAACATATCTGTTTAAAATGGCTTTCTCTCTTTAGTTATTTTCAAACGTCTTTCTCAATTCTTCTTGTTTTCTTGGTTGATGTTAACTATATCCGCCTTTTCATGCATAGCGCTTTGAGAATGATTAATTAAGGGCGCTTTCTACATTTAATTATTATTCATTAGTGCATCCCATGATGCGACCTTCTTCAAAAGTCCCTTAGTTTTCACGAATGGTTTCAATGTCTTTTTTTTCCATTTTTAAATATTCTTTCGACTACCGAGTATAATGAATACAATTACATAATTACGTGCAAATGGAAACTATGTTATTTAATATTGAAGCTTTAGCACTACGAGAGCAGTATATGTAATACTTGTTCTACTTGAGGACCATGGCCGAGATGGCCAAATTTGTGAAATTACATGTCTGTTTTCAACACTCCCGAGGTATTATATCCCATCACAACTGACTTTTCCACAAGGTTTGAATAAAATACAACACATCTCTTTATTGCTAAAAGTGGCGAAATTAGTAAAGCTGTCAGCTAAGAGGGACACTGTTATGTTCTGTCCAGCTCCAGGTGTGGTAGCGATGCAGCTGTATCCGGCACGAGTGCACTGTAAGTTCAGAATCCATCCCTTCCACAATGACACTCCACCTATTTTTCGCACGCCTTCACACGTGAGAATGAACGGATCGGCCCAGTTAATTCAATTTCTTGCAGTTCAGATTTTTTTTTTTCGCCGATCACTGGCAACCAAGGCTTGGTCGTCAAACACACTGCACATGGGAACCTTTTTCAACACTCTCGGAACAGCATTTGTTCTTCTTCTTTGCTCGTCCACCCCTGGGCTTAAATACAAATCAAGAATGCACGTGAACTTGTCAAACACGAGAGAAGGGCGTCAAAAAAAAACATAGAGAGAGAGGAAACATTTTTTTCTTTCAAAAACTCGCTTTGGATAGTTGCGGAATTCTCAACATCACCGGTGCTTGGTGACACAGTGTAATTTACCTGCCCATTGTCTGCAGAATGGCAATGGCACACGGCAGGTCAAGCCAGGCCAATCAAAGCTATACCTGCTGCTCGGGGAGTTTGGCAAACTGTAATAAGACCGATGACAGACAGCGAGTGAGGAGAGCAATCAACTTCAACAAAATAAATTCAAATACTCTCTTAATTGGCCAAGCCGGTTAGGCTAAAATTATAGAATTATCATCATCGTATATTTGGCCATGCTTCATCACGCTGGTTAGTGCAGGTTGATGAAAGGAGTAGTGGGGGGGGGCTAGGACCGATTCGGATATCTCGTGAAACCAGGTCCGATGTGGCCAGGAATAGAACTGAGAAAATCGGGTGGGTAGCACAAACCACTGCGCGTTTGAAGTACTCTACTTAAGCATGCGCTTAAGTAGAGTACTTCAAACGCTTGTACAGGTGGAAACCGCCAGAGTGTGTGTGGATGGCACACTCGTCAGTGTCCTCTCGTTACGACAGTCTTCTGCAGCACAAATGATGTGGAATTCTGGCTGCCAAGGGTAAGAGCAATCGTACCCACCCCCCCCCAACGAAAAACTCGCCGCTTGCTGGGAGCACACATACACAGTGCTGGCATCTGTGGGATTATTGCAAGTAAGTCCCACAAGGGCAGAATGGCTCAAGGGCACAGCCACACAGGTTTTCAGTGCTGGGCAATTAGTGTTGATCAGTCCCATGACACTCACTTCCTCTTCGTACTAACACAACTACTCGTGTCAACGATGTCTCAATAACGCTGTGCTTATTAAATAATGTGTTCAGCGAAGCTGTATTGATAGTGGTTCACAAGCACAAATAAAACATTTAATACGTTCATCATTAACACTGCGTTAAAATAAATAGGTGAAGTTTTTGGTAATGGCCCTTCCTTCATTCACTTCTTATTAAGGTATAGTATATGAATGTAAATTGAATTTTGCTTAAGCGTCATGTCATGGGCCATCGTCTAGCTGTAATAAGGTTCCCTCACACCATCACCATCCCTCATAGTCCAATGCTGGGACCATCCATCTCATTCCTGCACATGAAACGATCTCATTGCTCTATCTCCACAGTGGTCAACCTTTTGGTCACGTTCCCTCCTCTGGCTGCCAATCCATCACCAGTTTCATCCATCATCCATCATCCCGTTTCGAGAAAATAGCGTCTTGGCCATGTCCATTTACTTTCAATAAGTAAATTCTGTAAACGAATATGGGTTATGTAATACAAGTTACATTTACACTGTGGACTGTTTTATAATCTCTATCCTGTCGTGTTAACACAAATAATCATCTACTTCAACACTTACGAAGTCTCTTAGATTAGTATCACTTTTTACTGATCTTAGAATATACATCTGAGGAAGTCACCATAGCATGTTATGTCGAGTAAATGTGTGAATGAAATTACATACTTTTCGGTGTTGGCCATGATTTTTCAACAATTGCATAATACATTCACAAAAAATTCAACACTCAAAAATAATTGTTGGGTCAAACTGACCCAGAAATGTTTGAAAAGTGTAATCTAACATCTATATTGACATTTCAACCAAAAAATACACATCAAAAGTGCAGGCATGCATGACATCATGCTGCGAGTGTGCATAAGGGCTGCCAGCTGAGAATGCACCCCCTTAATTCAGCTCAACTGCTGGCGAAGACGACGAGATGTTAATGTCTCTTGCCGCTTCTTCTGCTAAAAGGACCGCAGAAGAATCCAACACAGCGATGTTAAATAACGAGGGGCGATTGTAATGTTTCGCTGTGTGGTAATCTTGCCTTCCCAGGGGTGGTATGTTAACAAGTAACAGACACATCGTGTATGCACGTACAGGGTAAACACATTTGGAATTGAACTCCGGGGCGTCAATTCACTCGAATAGTTATACTTTAAGTAGCACGTACAGAGCACACTGATTTACATGCAGCAGGGATTTCCCTTGAAAAAAGAGACTTGTCAATGGAGTCTCACCTGGTTGTAAAGGTTGTCGATTTAAGGCTGCACAACCAAAGAAACAGTGTCTATGTACGCTATGCATTCATTAACGCACACGTGTTTAACCCACACGGGTTACGCACACACACAAAAATGTTAAATGGACTCGCGATGAGGATACACAAGAGGATATGCACATGGACGCGAAATGATGTACGCACATTTTAAAAGTGGAACATGGCAATTCAACAGAGCGCAGAAAATAACTATCCGCCCTTGAGTAATTCACTGCTGGATGAAAGTCTCCCCATGCCATATTATAGGTTTCAGATGCAGTTATTTTTAAAATCTATAACGGACCATGCCCTTTTGTTATTTTATAGCTTAACTGTTTCTAAACAGAAGAGTGAGAGTATATTTTTGTATCTCTGTAATTAAAGGACAGATTGTTAAAGTTTCATTCATCGACCAAACACAAAACCATTTCACACTGGAACCAGTTAAACAAACCTGACTTAATACATTAAAAAATAAGAATTAAATAAGTGCAACCACAAAAGGTGATGAGCGACCCAGCAGTCACCCGCCTGTCCAAACAGCATCCTACATAAATCACACTTCCCCTGGGAGGACTCGGAGATAATGACGGACACCACAAAAAATAAAAAGAGGGTGATGATGTACACTTAGCACCGTGGAGACAAAGCGCTTCAAGCAAAGCAAAACCCGAGCCAGCGCACACTGCATTCCCCAAAGGCAAGCCCCGACTCCAGATGCTATCACTGTTTGACTAGTTATGGCCAAGTAGTTTTTTGAAGAAAAAAAAGCGAAAAAAGGCTAATCATGAGTGATGGCACACGCGATACCTTCATTTGAACTATATTTTTTGGTAACTCTAGGGATAGATGATTAATTTGCTAATGTTACATTAAAATTGCTTGCAGCCTTCACATTTTATGGTGGTTTAGAGTTCATGCTCATGTCACAAATTTTGCGTATAGAATGCACTCTTGGGGTAAAGGGAGAACTGCAGGTTTGTTTTGAAGCTCATCAAAATTTGAATACAGAATACGAGACAATTTTTTAAGTCAAATCCCTGCTTCAAATTGTTATCATTTATGCACAAGAGAATCGAATGTTTTTGAAGCTCGGGCTCTGTGATGTCACGCACACGGTTAGGTAAACACTAAAGAACTATTCGTTATTGACAATAACACTCGAGCTAATGTGATTATACGATTAGACTGATATTATTCTTTAACCTTACTCCCAATCCTTCCTTAATTAATGCAGCTGCATTCCACACTGACATTATCACTGTGCGTGAAGTTTCCCTGCGGTCATTCTCCAGCTATTGTGGTTACAAAACTATGCAGTTCTGCAATGAACAGACAGTCCAGACAAAAATAACCAAACAACCACACTTAGGCGTAACAAAATGTTGATGTCGCAGATACTAAATTCTCTAATTACATAATACTGCATAATCATTCATCGTAAACGTCGGCTGTGCAAAGACTGTTATAATTTTCAGGAATGTGCCTGCTGTTTCCATGAACAGAGTTAAGGAAAGACCTGTCGACACGTATGAAAATAGACCATCAAGGCCATGGTGTTTTGTTTTGCGGTTTGGCAATATAGTAATTTTCAGTCTGTTTACCCGATATTTTCTCCAGAAATGTTGACAATTAAACACCCATGAAACAGACTGAACCCAATCACCATGGAGATCGAAATATACACGACGCCTCAATACAAACATCAAACTTTCAGCGTTAAACACCTTTATTACAGGTTTCACAACAAAAATACCTTATGATACAAAGCACACATTCAACTGTTTGCCTGCAAGGCAAATATTTGTCTTCTACTACTGAAAACCCATGCTATCAGAAACATTGCAACTGAAGTTAGAGCAGATGTTGGATATTACTGTTGAGCATCGTCTGTTCCACCACGAGACTTTCAAATACCATGGTACTTTCTTTAAACAGAGGCTTCAGCAATTTGTCACACGTGTAGAAATACTGTGAAATACATGACATGCCAACATGCCTTGCATATGCGTTGACAGTTTTACTTTTGTTAGATATTTTTAAAACTTCCAAAAGCTCAAAAACAGGTCAAAGCGATGCATGTGGAAATTCTCAAACTGTTGCTCACATGCCATTTTAACTGGCAGGAGGTCCATTAAACAGGTGTAAGAAATACAGGATTCTTATAGAAGGTATCCAAGGTGATCCTAGTAGTCATGCCAATAGAGAAACTCAACTAGTGTGCATTACCAATCCCTGAAATGTGTACGACTCGGCTGAGAAAGCCATTTGTCAACGGTAAGCAATGAAAATCAACCCCACATCCTTCCGTCTCATTCCTGCCTGGCAGTTAATCCACAGTTTTGTACGTTCGTTTTTTGAGTTGCACTCCCAACTTTGCTAAGAAACGCGGGGCGATTTCCATTTGCAAGTGCACCCGCATGTCGTGCTGGTGTGTGAATGTGCCGTCAGCAACCATCGCTGCCATTTCCACTGCATTTTCTTAAAGAGCCCTCACTCACTCAGCGTCAGCTCGCCCGTGTCACCCCCCTCCCCCCCGTCAATCACTGCAGGTACGTGACCTTTTTCATTTACCTCTTTTTTTTTAATGTACCCTCTGTCCACCTGTCACTCGTGACAAGTCTCAACAACCATGTGTGCGGGTGGTGGCTGAGGAGAGGAGGGTGCTGTGAGGGCAGTGGCAAGGTTGCTCGTTTGCTTTCTCTCTTCTCAAAAGGCAATTCCATCCATGCCGTCCTCCATGAAACGCTTGTACAGAGCCATGAAGCGTGCCACGAAGGCTTCCAGGTGGTAGATGGCCTTGCTGCCGAGCTGCAGTCGGTGCTCGTAGAACGCTGCCATCTGTGTCACATCCGCCTTGAGCTGTCCATCACAGTTACTGAGCAGCTCCGTGAGAAGGCCCTGGGAGCCAACGTTCCACACTTTGCGGTTTAGCACATCGACCGTAACGCAAACCAGTACTCCGTTAAGCAGAGGATAAAATGCATGCCAAATCACTTTCAAGTAAGGAAACAGGTCAGTTTCACGGTTGATTATGTGAAAGTTGTTTGTGCAATTTCAGCTCGTCGTTTGAACCCAAAAGGTATAAAATGGTAAAAAATATTGAAGCAGTGGTTATGCTAATTATGGTTTTCTTTGATCTCCCTATATCAGTTCTATCCATTAAGCAACGTGCCAGCAAAATATTATAATTTAACTTTCAATACAAACTAGTTTATTTAGTAATACCATTTTGCTTATTGATGGGTTTGTCTGTTACTCAATAGCTGCTGATGTGTCCATATTCATATGCTAATTTTAAAAAATCTAAAAATGTTACAAATATTCTTCTCATCATGCCCCATGAAGTAAAGTGCAGTCTGCAACGCTTAACCACTCTCTCTCCGGCCTCTTTATTTATGTTCAATGAAGAAAGGCCATTGAGGGAAATGTCGTGGATTATATCATATTCCTTTTCAATGGTAATGAAGAATGTGTTAAAGTATTGGAAGATTGATTTGAAGTAATTTTTCCCCCATACCCATTACAGAAAACTTGTAGAAATGCAATAATTTTGCTACAAATACAAGCAACACGTAATAATGTCATAGCACGTACTTTAATCCTATTTAGTTAAATGAATGATGATGGAAATGCTCCAGACAAACTACATGGTCACTTAGAACATGCAGCAGAGAACTGGTTCATGGCCACTGATTATGAAGACCCATAAAATGTACCAATACCTACACATAAATGCAATGAGTTTGTATTTTATGAATCTATTTAAATAGACAGACCAGTGTATGAATTGTAATGAGAGGCACACACCTTCACAATGACTTCTGGAGGAATGCAGTGAGTGAGTAACTCATAAATCCGCCCTCTCACCTCCAGCAGCCTGAAGAGCAATTCAAGAGACACCCTTAATACCATACGTACAATATACTTTGAATGAAGACATTTACAATCTCAAATACAATGCATACAGGAACATTTACAGCGTGTTTTTGCTATGCTTGGAGGTTGAATGTTTAATTTCGTAGGCAGCTGGTTTGGTGGCGTTACAACAGAAAGGCATGCTCTTGCAAAACCTACCGTAAGACATTCAACATCCATTGACAAGAAGACTGAACTGCATACTTAAAGGTTTCTAACCACAGCATCCCAAGTGACAGAGGACGTTACACGTGCATGATGGGCCTATGATGGGGTTTGAAACGAGCGCTACAACAATTTACCTAAAACAGTCATATACGTTAAAACAGGTATAACGTCTACGTTTCAACTCCATCTAATATAGCATAATAACTGGAATTTAGTAAATTAGGGACAATATACATATAAGAGATATGAAGAGGGGTTCGATAGGTATATCTCACTCAGCATTACCTGTATATAGTCAGATAAGTTTGATTCCATGCCCCCAGAACCTAGTGTGTATATATTCCCAAATTGTATTGCTTGATCTATACAAAATTAACGAGTTTATTTTAAATAGAAACAATCCCACCTTTGGGGCGACTGCTGGTTGATAATGGCAGTAGCTGTCTCGCGTAGGTAAACCTCCCAGTCGGTTTCTGGGATCTCTTGCTCCGCTGAGAATGGGTACCTTCAGAAAATCATATGATTAGTAACTATTCACACTCCAAAAATATAAATTACATTCATATACATCACTACAGTCAAGGCCGTGCCATGCAATAGTTATGTATTTGACTGCATGCGAACATGAGAAACATTAGTTTCCACTGTCTCAATGGACCGAGCTGGAAATATTTTAATAATCGCACTCTCCTTGTGATATTTAGTGGACAAATTACATGTTTTTTCCACAAAAATGTGACTTGGTGAGTAACCAACTTGCGTCCACTCACTGCTGCACTTTGCAGGCCTCGCACATGAGTAAGGCTTTGCGCAGGTTGCGGTTGGATTTCTCAGCAATCCTGCGAGCTAGTTCTGGTGGCAGGGAGAGCCCCTCCTTCTTGCACACAATCGCCAGCACCTGGCACACCTGCAGGGGTGACCACACGACAACATGCGCTTTCAGACGAGTCAGGACTGAGGAGTAATTCATTCCCTTACCAATGATTCCCCAAAACACTAGGCAACAAAAAACATTAAGAAACGTTTTGTACCCTGTGGTAAGAAACAATTAAATTAAAGTTATTTAATTGTTCTGGGACGATTTTAATGTAACCATGAATTTCAAAACCTTGTGTACCCCTGCTGTTATGACAACCAAATTGTATGTACATAAGGATTAGGTTTTTATAGCGTTTGAAGATGAAGTGATAGGATTTTCAATGCAATTTGTTAGAATGTTTAGTGAATAATTTAAATGTTAAGTCAGTTTTGGGTCTTAATATTGTATGTAGAGGCTAAAGATCTATTGAAGATTCATGTTGTGTTTCAGATAAATGTATATCGCAATGTTTGGAATTTAGTTAATAGCTGAGGGTTTGTCAGGATTGCTCTTAGAATCATGAATAGAATTAGCCATATTAATGCTAAGAGCTGGGAATTATAGTCTGGTATTTCTATTTAGGATTAGAATTAGGTTAAAAACATAGGTGTAAGTGTTATGGGTCAACAGATCATATTTGCATGATTGATTCTGGGTAGGAAACACCATCGCTAAGAGTGCTTATGTTGGGATTAAGTGTGAGCAATGCTTAAAGCTCAGTGTCGGTGACTGGCACTCGCTGCCCCACCTCATCGACGGTGGGCGCCGGTACCCGCAAGCCCAGGCAGCGGCTCCTGATGGGTGCGATGACCTTGGATGTTGAGTTGCACACGAGGATGAGGCGGCAGGTCGACATGTACTTTTCCATGGTGCGACGCAGTGCATGCTGGGCATCCTTTGAGAGCCGGTCAACCTCCGACAGTAGCACAACTACCAACCCAGCATCAAGTAACATGTAGAAGAAAATAATTAGAATAATAACATTGTTTATTTCTCCATAAAAGCCCATAATACTATTTTCAGTAGGGTCCTGCAATGGGATGTTGGGCCAGTTTTCTTTAAATATAAGTTTTGCATGTGGGAGCAATTCAAATGATCAGGATGTCATGTCTATGAAAGGACAACACTCAAAGGTCCACAATGACAGGTTCATGAACCCACTTTCTGTACTACCATCTTATGATCACCTTTCTGGCCAACAGATGTATTTAGAATATCAATACTTTAAATGGCTATTAGTTTATGCGACATGTCCACATAAATAACTATTAGCTAGGGTTGATTATTATGTATCATGCACTGGCCATAAGACCACAAACGGTGTTATCAATCAAAAAACCACCTACAATATAAAATACTGTACCGAACATTGCATTTTAAATGTAAATGGAAGATCCAGACAAAACACACGCAATATATTAACTTATTAACTGTGTCTAGGTCACGTGAATGTGTTTACTTTAATTAATTACCCTTGAAGTCTCTTTGGGTTCCAGATTCAAGTTGCTGAGATTGCGCCACCGTTTTGATCAGCTCCTGGACCACAACACGATCACTGTTTCCTGCATCACTGGAATACAAGACGTTTCAAACTGCATGAAGAATTTAATACAAGATGTACTAGTGTGTATATCAAAATAATGCATATTTGTATTGTTCATTATTCTTTATCATGCTTACCTTGGGGTGACTTCAATGTGATAGTTGCTTGCTATGGTGCTTATTTCAATCTTCTTTTTTGAAGGAGTCTGAAAAACATGTTAAAACCATACAAAGATGCATTTTATTTTGTTTAAAGTGCATATTGTGATAGCCTCACAGTAACATATTAAAAACAATTATCTGTACAAATATGGCCCAAATGCTGAAACCACCATGTCCACCATGACCTTATTCTACAACTCTTGAAATGAAGCACAATATTAGCATAATAAACATTAAAAACCACACATTCTCATACTATAACGAAGTTCAAATACTTATATTTCTGTTTACTACAGAGTAGTTTAATGTGTTTATTGATAGAAAAATTGTAAAAATACTAAAATTACCAGCAAGCCATGTCTTGATTTTCGCAATTATAATTTTAAATAATACAAAAACACGCATTTTTTTTTAGTTAAGCTTTTATAAATCAGTGTGTTAATACACAAAAGTGTATCTATATGCAAAAGTTTGGTCTGCAATGTTATACTGTAAATATTCAACAATTAGAAAAGAGAGTAATTTTCCTCCTGTTCACACAGGGCCCCCAGTATTAGCACAAAGACATGACGTTTGCTGTTATTGCCCTTATACTACCAGCATTACTTGATTATCCTATTTAACAAATTGAGCCTCTATGCACTACCCAATTTCCATGGCCTGCAGACAACACGGGTGTCAATATCCACTCACCGTGACTGTTTGATGCTCGATGCGTAACTTCTCGACACCGGCTCCATATAGCTCACGTAGGAGGCACATGATGCGTGTCTTTTTGCCGGCACCCGATGGTCCGTACACCAACAGGTGAGGGAAGTCTCCACCTTGCACCTGTGTTCATTCATTGGTCTGTTAATCTGGATATTCATTCTCTCCTGCTCAATCAAGCACGAGATGTTGACACAACTGAGCTGTGCCATGCATAAACAATATAAACAAGTTTCAATTTATAGTGTCTTAATGCAACTGCATCTCAAAATGCCATTCAAAATTAAGGAGATGCACATCGTGGAGACAAAAGGGAGGTATTTATATTTAAGGTGAAACTGGATCACCTTGCAGATGGAGGACAGCAAAAGATAGAGGAGACTTGAACATGGGCAGGGAGTTAACAAGATGGGCAGAGGGAATTCCAGACTTTAAGGGCGGCAGCAGAAAAGGAGCGCCCTCCTCTATTGAGAAGATGGATGATATTGGTCGCTAAAGCCTACGTGTTAAACTAAGAGGATGGTTTTGCCAGATGGCCTTGGATTCTGAAGTAAAGTACAAAAAGCGGATGAGTGGAAAGGTGGGCAGGGGCAAACCCATTAAAGATATTTAAAATGGTGAGGAAAGGACTGGATTGGAGTCAATGGAGGGATCTGAAAACTGATGTGACGTTGACTCTTTTATCTGTGGAGACGAGGATTATTGCGGAGGATTTTGGATAATTTTCAGTTTGTATATAGGAAGGCCATAGAATATGTTGAAGTAGCCAAGACAAGAGGTGATTATGGCATGGATGAGAGATTTAGCAGTAGATGAGTCAAGCAAATGGAAGGTGTGGAAGATGTTGCACGTGTGGAGGTGACTCCTGCAGAGCTGAAAATGTAGAAGGAAAATGACAGCTCGGGGTCAATATGGCTCCAATAATGTATAACATGTTTGTTGAGAGTGAAGTGTTTAGCGATGTGCAGGAGTTCAGTTTCGTAAAAAATTTAGATGCTCAAAGTTTGAACAAACCCAGGATGAGACCACATTAAGGTAGGATACCAGATTGGGTGTCATCATCATAGATAACAGTTCAAGTTCAAGTATTAGGTATAGCCTTGTGAGCCATTCGGCTCTTGAATCGGGTGCAACCGCAACAAACAAAAAACATGAACAAGAAAACGTCTTAAAATGACTATGTGACTAAGTGCAAACAGAAAATCGAAGACAGTAAAATATTGCAGAAAAAGCACCGTACACCTACGCTGTGTGCAAAAATCCCAGTGGGATGCAAGTCAAACAACAACAACCACAAGACAACTTAGATTAAGGCCATCAGTCTTACTTCATACTACAACAAACAAATATGGCCAAACCAAAAAACTTTTCGAAATCACCAAAATAAAGCCATGAAAGCAATAAAACAGTGATCATAGGAACTGTGACGGAATCTTCACAATAAACGACATAAACATGTACTACAACAGTATGGTGATTACAAAGCCATACTGACAATTGTACTGTTATCATCGCCAGTGGGACAATGAACAGAATAAACCTTCGAACACAATTAGGTCACACAATATTGTTAAAACTATACTGAAGAAAACGCCTGATATTAGTCATTCAAGGCGAAGTGAATTCCTGCTCAAATTGATAGCGCTCACCTCTGTACAGCCCTGAGGCAGTGATGAAAATTCCCATTCCTATAGCGTAGACGAATCTATTCATAGGACCACTGTTGATTTCCCCACAAAGTGATATATATATTTGATCAATTACGGAGAGATGATGGGCCGAGTCAGCCGCAACACAAAGAATGTCACTCGCAATTTTACGATTGCGAAGCCGCTCGCCCTATCGTTGAGACTCTTAGAATAATCATTGACATCGCCGTATAATTGAAACAGGCACATATCCAACAAACCTTCAAAAAACAGTTACCGTATTAAATATTTAAAATTACGCCTGTTGCTGTGTAGTATATACTTTCCTGTGACACAGTATCGCGTTAATGTTAAACGCGATGTGCGCTTGTGCATCTGCCAAATTAAATGAGTTAATCCCTTAATATTTAACTATCAAATATTGCACAGACACTACATACATACACAGTTTTACTTCCTGTAGATGCGGTGTGAGCCCGCACGCGTTTGCGAATGAACGAATTGTAAGACAATAACGCTCGTATTTAAATCAACGTGAGACTCCCCGGGATAGGAGCCGGGTCGCTGTTGTAGGCCTCGCGAGAAACGGCGCCTCGGAGGCGGTAGCCGATCCATGCAAGGGCGGGGGGCCCGACCGCGAGTATAGGCCGCGCGGACTTTTTTTTTGTTACCAGATTTTTGAGCTGAATCGCTTGCTCCTTGTGGAAGTCGACTTTACTTAAAGACGTTGGTCGATATTTGTCAACCCAGAGACTCATTGTTGATAACGGTGTCTGTTTGTTGTTTAAGCACGAGATGTGACAGCGCCGCCTTGTCAAACGCGGCCTTTCCCGCCAAAAACCCCGCGGTGACGTCACTCGAGTGTGGTTCTTGGGGTTTTTGATGTCACACGAACAGTTTAATTTGATTGAATTTTGGGGGGAAATCATATTATGGGCACTGATTTGAGGGAATAACATAGATAATTGTATTATCCGCGGAGTTGTTCACGATTTTAGTCTGCTTTAACGTGGGGTAAAAAAAACAAAAAAATTGCTGTCCCGCAAAAGTTGGATGGGTATAATAGGAATCTGGCCACGGATAATGTTAGTTTTTGATGATGTAGGGTAATAAATAGGTTGAAAATAAGAGGTAATCTAATTTTAAATGACTACCCCAATACACTTTTATGGACGCCGCACAATGGATTTTTAAAACATTAATATTTAAGTGTAAATAAAAAGTCTTTAAAATGAAGGGCCATTGCCCAAAATTTACTATTTTATTCCTTGAAGACAGTGTTCTTGGGGAATGTATGTATAGTATGAGATTCTTTTGCACTGTACGTATAACCAACCGTGTGAATCTGAATGTGTAGCGAGATATCGGTGGTGAGATGTTAACTACCTTGCCAGGTACACAGGAGGTCGTGGGTTCGAGTTCGACCCTGACGCCTGCTGCTGTATATATGGAGTTTGCATGTCTCTCTCTCTAAGTGGTCGCATCGATTCTTATTCCGGGTCCTCCGGGTTTCCCTCCACATTTAGAAACATGAGTTTAGAGTATTTGGCTGCTGTACATTTCCACATGATAAGCCACTTCGTTGAGTTATTATGTGTGGCCAGGTCGCATCTGAAACAGTGGGCCTTACTTGGTAAAATACAAAAAGTTTGAGGTTTTTATTTATTTTGCGTGTGCACCATTGCAACAACGTGAGTGAAGAATCTATATACGACTAACCGCCTCCTAAACTCGGACATTACACTGGCAAAATACTACATTTTTTTCTGGCCTGGACTTTTGCAGCGATTTTAGACTAATTTCAGGGTGCTGATTCCAAATCTGATCTCAGATTTGCTCTATCACATCTCATTTTTATGCTATCGGCATACCCCATTTTCATTGATTTTACCCGAAATTAACTCTGTCACTTATGATTGCAAGTTGTTGCGAGTCAAGTGACTGCTTTAGTGTTAAAATATGGTGCTGTATTTTTAGGATGGTGTGTTTATAATATCATTTTATGTAGATATCCACATCTATTTCATATTTTTCTTCTGCAGTTTTTATTGAAAATGCAATATTTGATATCTCAAAATCCTGATGTGATAGACAAAAACTGATGCTAGATTTGGAATCAGCACCCGAAAATTACCTTAAAGCCGTTGAAATATCTTATGCCAGAAAAAGTGTGTTGACCAGTGTAATCCCAATCTAGATTTCTCTTCCCACGTCTCAAACTCTGCAGCACTGCACGTATCAATCAAGCACATCGCCTTCATACCCGAGCTGCCGCTGAGACTAGGATTTCCACCTGTCCTGGTTTTCCCATAAAATGCAACAAATTTGTTGACAACACTACCCGGAGCATATATACACTATATATGTTCTGCTATGTATGCGAGCCGTTGGCCAAAATATCGCCTGTTATACAGGGTGCGTCAAAAACAATGTTAACACTTGTGAGAATTTGCAACAATACCACAAGAAATGTGCCTCCGGGCTCTGGAGACCACCTGGAGAAGATTCCAGGCGTGTGTTGACAATGCTGGCGAAGAAGTGGATACTTATTTGAATCTATGAACATACATTTGTTATCATGTTAGTGTATTATCCATTCTTTTTCCATTAGAAACTATAGTTCCATATAAGTGTTAACATTTTTTTAAAGCGCCCTGTATTGTATGTTTTCCTTTTAGTGCAGTGCTTTTGCTAAATGTCAATGCATCATCACCAAAAATCTGGCTTTCCCAGGATCATCGTCTTATTTGAGGCAACTATCCAGGGACATGAAACGTCCTGGCTATTGTCAGGCAGTGGCGCAGTAGTTCTTCACTCTTGTGATGTTATAAGATATCATTCCCTTAAATGTCCCAGGTTTTTGTACCCCAAAGGGGCATCTATTGGCCACTGTCACATCACGTTCTTTGTGACATGACAGCATGATCTGTGCACTGTGACATCACACCGTGTTCTGTGTATTGTGACTTCACGTGGACACCTGATAATGTAACTTTGTTGCTTTAAGTGCAGCATGTAACACCTACAATAATACTAAATGTCATGCGAAAGTTCAGAAACGCCTACTCTATACACACATTTTTTTTACAGATCATATTTCACAATAATTCAATCTATTATGACCTGGACATGTTCTAGTGTTTCCAGTCAAGTCGCTGCACCGTACATTCCAGTTCTCTCATGCCATGGAGCCTTCTCAAAATGCTGACATAAATGAGGGGTAAAACAACTGTTAATGTTGACCTTCTAAGCCTGGACTTCTAACTTGCCCTGAACATAAGGTACATTGCCAAGTACAGTACTTGAGAACAGTCGTGCTTGCTTCTTAATTGGCATGTGTATCCGCTTGGTGGTGTCCTCAAGAAGCCTCGTTTTCCCCTAGGGTGCTTTACGAATGATTGATTTCAAAATCACAGCTTTAATGTGGGGGAAGAAAAACAAAAATCCACTTCCGATGGAGGAAGTTCCTCCGGTGTGACGAGTCACAAGGAAGCACACATTCCACACTTCTACCACTCTGCACTTTACTCCAAATACTGGCCAACTTTGTGCTGAGGTCCATCAAAGTCTATCACAGTACCGCACAGCACATGTAAGTTTATACATTAAAGTATCAGTTTGGATGAATTATTGTATCTATTGGAATATAAGCCAACGTAGCTTTTCTGGGAAATTCTACCTTCGACTTAGTTTCAGAAAGTAAACACACCCCGAGCCTGCTTAGAACTGCGATTAAATTTTAAGAAACGTTGAAGCAGCTGATGTGGCGTCATGATTAACACAATCGATATGAAAATCCAGCAGTCATCCGTTCAACCTCCTGGTTTAGCAATTGAAATAATGGGAATTGCAGGGCTGGACCTTTACGTAAAGAAAAATCAGTTTCCTGAAGGAAATAGTTTTGGCTGCTTGGTGAAGGAAACTAAATTTTTTTGGTTGAAGATAAAGCCCTGGTGCAATGTTTCAAAGTGTTAAACTGATGAAGCTAGTTGTAATTACGGGCGAAACGTCGTACTCCGATTGTAAATGTTGTGGCTTTGCTCTCCAACACACCGGTGTGCTGTACTTGTAACGAATTTGCAGGTTCTATTTACGTGACAAACCTTACTAATTAGCTGTGTCGAGTGGTGGCGGGGTTAACGACACATTTATATTTACACGTTTTAACCCAAAAAAATCCGTATAATAGATGTTAAACTTGTTTGTACATTGGCTTTCACAACCAATGAATTCGTTACTTGTGTAATATCGTACAGGTATAACACCAATTTTTAGCTATACCCTCCACAACACAACTGCGTCGATCAAATAAAATTGTCATGTGGGGGAATATGCTATTTTTTTTACTGGAATGCTGAAAAGCAAACAATTTCTTTTTTACAATTTTATACCAAACTTGTTTTCTTTTAATAGATGTGCGAACGTCAATGAGGTAATTAAGAAATAAAAAAAAGTTATTTTCTTATTTAGGAACTACTGTACTTTGGACAAGTTCGTTTTTAATTTAGAAAAAAAACTGGAGAAAAACATGTACATTTCAATAAAAGTGTAAAAAAATGTTACACCATTGTCATCGCAGCACCAGGCCGAGTTGTCTTTATATAACGCCTTATGTTTTAATTACAGACACCCGTGGGAGACTTAGTCCCGAGTAAAGTTTGTTTGCTCCTCCCCTGTTGGAGCCCCAAACTTTCTATAACATGTGGGGAAAGCATTCCAAGGTTTCTGCCTGGTGCTGCCATCTGGCTAAACTTGTTTGAAGAAGAAAGAGATCCCTTGTGCTGCAGTCACTCGGAATGCTCAAAGCCCCCGTGAATTCCAATTTCGTCCACCGCATCGTCTCCTATGGTGGCAAAAAGTAAACCCACGGACTAAAATATTACTGAAAGCATCAGCATCTACTCCAACTAATTCCCCTTGCGTTTCCATAAAGTGATATTTTTGTCTCAAAAGCATACCAAGAGTTTATACGTCATGTTTTGAGTTGGTGGTTTATGTCGAAAAGGCTCACTTGCCTCTCTCTGCACAAGCAGCACAGATTTTAAATTTAGTTCTTGTGGTTGTGAAATTGCTCATCCTCCTGTGATTTTAAGGGAGTATTGAATTAGTTTTTTGTAAACAAAATCTGAACATTCATCAACACAACGCTGCTTAAATATGGGACATGCCGCAAGCCCAAAAACTTTACACGCTTTAGGGAAATATTTGTCGTGCCATTTATAGCCAAGACGCACCTATATACATACATTTTCACTGGCAGCTAGTATTAGACAAGGCAGCATGTTGCATCTCAGCTTACTTCCATGGTAAAAAAATGGTAAAAAAAACCCATGACGCTAATCTACTGCACCGTATCCAGTAGAATGCATTACATTGTGCAGGGGCTATCAACGGGAAAGCTGTAGAAGCCATGAGCTTCCTCCGTCTGAGCACGTATGAAAACGGAAAGAATTGCGAACACATAAGACAGCCTGCAGCCCATCCGGAGCCAAATAAAACACTGTAAAAACCGCACACATTTTGTTTGCATTAACAACACGGATATTTAAAGCCTAATGAGTGCTTTGGACATCACACGCTGAAATGCACATTTAGGAACCAATACTTTATTGAACATAGCTCCTTTAATTCGTAACACATCGCAAACATTATTTACACAAACTTTGAAACATAAAATACTGCATATAAAATATATAAAAATTGGAGTATAAATAGTTACTTACAGATGACAAACATGTCCTGGCAGAATAATACTGACTGTAGATGGAATATTACATATATACGTTGTCTAAATCGCAAAGCAATTTCCGCACGCTGAGTGGAGGGGAAAACACGATTTACATTCATACTAGAAATGCACAAGCAGCTGTTGAATTAAATCTGGCTTTAGGATCACTTTATGGCTTTAAGTACAAGAAAGTTAAAACAATAATCATGCAGTAACCGTTTGCAAATGAAACACTTACAGGTACAATGCAACTTAATGCAAAGCAGAGCTGTGGATGCAGAGTTATAAATGGAGTTAATTAAAACATTTAAAAAAGCTAAACTTGACTTCAGGTGACAGTCACCAGGCGTACTTCTGTCTCTTAATAAAACAGCCTCTAATCACATTAAGACAAAATACTGTATTACATTAAATGCAAACTTACTTTTTCCCTCTACTCTTTAGACAGAACAAAATGTGGGATTGACCCAAAGTTGTGACTAGGAACGTTTTGGGCCTCACTAAAGTTTTTATTTGCAGGGCTCCAAAGCTTTAAAAGGCAAAATGGGTATTTGAACAGTCAGGGTAAATTCTGTTGGCAAGTGGAATGTGCAGAAGTACATTGAAAGGGTGTACATCCCTAAAATGCCTTTTTGGCAAACTTTGTCAGCAAATGCTTGTGCAGGTGCAAACGCAAAAGGGAATCTGCGAGCCCTTGAGGGTGGCAATGGAAAGCAGGGGGGTGAAGCTTGAGGGGTGGCCCCATAAGGAATAGCCTAGGCTTGCTAGTCATGTGGATCCTCTGAAAGGACACTGAGCTTGGCGACCACAGTATAAGTGTAGATCTTGTTGTTACCTTCACTTGAGCGCATGATCACAAAAAACACATGCCGCCTGAGCCACATGGTTGCAAAATAAGAAAAGGGTTTTTCTTTCAATGACAATAAATTCCTTACTTACAAACTGTCCATTAACCTTTAAAGAGCATTCACATGACAACATCAGATGCATTGTTCTGCATAGTAGCACCAATAGCGCATAGGATTGTACACTATGAATCCACTATTGAAAGACAATGTTTTGGCAGCGACAGGATTGTTGCATTGTGTAGATGGGGTGTGCAGCAAATCAAAGTAGGATATCTAGCCCATTAATATCTGCGGTAAATTAGAATGAACACTAGATATTCAGATCTCTTAAAGCACTGAGTGACTTGTGCACTCCATATTCTGACCACAGATGCATAACATGTTGTGATTGGGTAGAACACCAGAGCTGTTTTGAAAAAAAAATGAAGGTCCGTTTGAAGAAATGCTAGCCAAAACATCTGGCAGCTGGTATATGCAGAATTAACAAAAGTGCGAACAATAAAACAAAACAAAACTGCACACTCAGATAAAGCGTGCTCTCATTTTTAGTAATAGGCTGCACATTTAACTATGTCCTGTGCTGATGTTTGAGCATTTCATTGAAATTTGGGAATTATGCATAAATACCATATTCATGTAGCACATCCGAAACTTCAAAAATGACACATTCCTTTGACAATTCATCACATTTAGGCAAACATGTGTACACATATATACTTAATTGCAATGCGACCGTGAAAGCAAATATAGTATGTTTTGTGCCAGTAACATGAAATCAATACTACATTTTCATTCAACGGTTCACTGCCCTATCTTTATCACCACCATTTGCTCCTATTCCATCTCCCTACTCAGAAAGCAGGTGTTTTCTTCTTATTATAAAAGCACACGCTTCTTTGAAGCAAAGCTGAACTTCATACAATCTTTGTAAAGGCGCTTGCACAACGAAAGCAGTATTATTTGAGTAACCCACCACTGACCCAAGACGTGTAACAGGGAGCAGCATGAACGGCTGTAAAACATGTGCGTGCACAGGCCGAGAATACAGTAAATATCACCGGGATGGCTTTTTTGCAAGTTGACTGGGAACACATCAGGATTGTCTTCAAGCTAAAAAGTTCTCGCTCTTCCACCTCCACGTCGCAAATCCGCAGGTAAAAGTTCAACACGATGGCCGCCAGTGCCTTCTGTTTAAATTCTTGTATAGTTTTTTTTTTTGCTTCTCATACTTTTAACTACATCTCACTCTCTGTAGGATCACATTCGAATCTCTCATCCGTCCATGCACTCCTCATTGCATTTGTCGTCCTGAATGCTCACCCGCGGCTCTGACTCAATCACACTTTGGTCTCGGGGAAGTCAGTCTTTGGCTTTTTAAAGGAGTCGCGTATCATGGCTACTTTGGATGCGCACAGGTGACCGAACACCTTGTTGTACCAGTCCAGCGATCGACCCCTGGAATGAGAGAACGCAATCCACCGTAAGCACTGGTAACAATTAAAAGTCAAACATGGCACTCGCCCACACAAATCTTTACTTTTCTTTGCCCACCAACCTGCTTACTTTCAAAATTGGTGTCAAGAATCAATTTCATAGAAATGGATACAAGGTAGAGCCCGGTCACATGCTGTGTGTTAATAATCATCATGTGATGTACATTTGGTTTCCAGGTGTTGTGCTTACAATCAAATACTAGATTTTATTTCTATACATTGACGTGTTACTCGTATTCTACTATTTTAACTAACCAACAATATTATGGGTGGAGTGGTGGTATAGTGGTTCACGCACAGCATTATGAAACTGGGAACATCAGTCGTAAGTGATTTCGGAACCAGTTCTAGGCTGCCCCTTACACCAACCCGCCCTGACAAGCATAGTAAAGTATGATCAATCAACCCTCATGACTAACATAGCATGGGAGACTTCATACAGCTATCGATTGACAAAATACCCCATTACAATACTTACAATACTTTGCTTGTGAAATGCAACAGGACATTTTTACGCAAGGGCCTAAGTTTAATTCCAAAGCCATTTGTACTAAGCGTGTCTCTACAAATACAACACGGCTTTAAAATAAAACATCTCTCAATGAGAGGGCACTCGGCAAGTAGGCCCTAGCAACCATGCTGGTGAGACAGGCGAGTACAGCCGAGCGACCGACCTGGTGTCGATGCGGCACACATGGGTGAGGCGGGATCGATTGGCTCCGAGCGGCTCGATGAGGTAGCGTGACGCGAGCACGACAGCGCGCGCCTCCCCCACACAGGGCACCTCTTCATGCTCCACGGACGTGGCCACGAGCACGCACGAGCCCTTGGGCAGGTCCGTCCTCCACGACCTGTGGCAACGCAAAGTCGTTCCGTTTCAACAGATCTGCTTGGCGAAGGGCAGACATTCGTCACTAGTACAGCACTGATATGTTTGGTGGTGCGTGAAAAGAAGGTGGACTGTGCTGGGATGGCAAATCTGCATCACCAAGGGCACTGAACAAAAGGAAGCAAAGTGCCCACCTGAGCACCAGGTAGTCGCGCGCAGGGTGCGGCGCCATGCTGTTGAGTACGTAGTAGAAGACCTCTGTGTTGGGGTCGAGTGTCTCCACCACCTTCCACTGCAGCAGATCTTCGTCCCAGAGGTGGCGCTCCGACCTGATTCGCTGCAGGACCCTTGGGGGCGGGGCTTCCACTTCAACGGTCGTCTTCCACAGACGCAGCAGGTGCCCGTCTCCGACCTGGCACGCGAAGGGGAAGGCGGGGAAAGGGTGCACAGCGAGCGATGTTAATTTCCTTCTCATTGGCGGAGACAACGCAGTCCCATTTTTGCCATATTAGCAATGGGACCATTCGAGTGGTGGGTTTTATAATTTCAAGTCTGTGTTTGGGGTATAGTTATAAAACTGAATTTAGAATAATTGTTTCTCAAAAAAAATGTATGAACACAATGTGTCATTCAGAAATGGATAATTATATAAGTGTATATTTTTACTGCAAAAAACTATATGACAGCCTCCTAGAAGTATACATATTATGGGTACTGTGTCACCCTGCAGTGGCATTTCGATCCTATACGAATGTATATTAACTAAAATTGTATAAAAGACACAAATGCTCACTTTGTGCGAAACAATCACACCACGAGGAGGTAAAGGGCCATCCATTTAGTACGTACGCAAAAAATCTGCCAAAACTTGACCCCTCCCCCTGTATGCACACGTTCTTTTTACACCCCCCCCTCCACCTGCTTACGTACGCTTAATGCACCCCAAGGCCCCCGAATCATATAGAACGGCCGATTTTTAATCCACGCAGAAACGATCAAGGATTAATAATATTAACGTGTTTAAACAAACAGATAGTCCACCGCCAGATTATCTAACTCATCTGAAGGCCAATGTAGACAAATTATTATCGAGGCTTCACCCCCCGCCCCGCCCCCCCGTTCCCTAGGCGTACATTGTCAGTAGACCCTCCATACGCAAGCGTACCCATTTGGGTTAACCCCCCCTCCATGTGTGCGTACGTACTAAATGGATGGCCCCTAAAACTCGGTCATAGATAAGTGAATACAACAGCGAGTACATGACGGCACCAGTTCTAATGGGCACGTGCCACCCGCACGTCACGTGAACACGAGAATTCACACACCTTCTTGTAGGCCACCTCAGTGCTGCTCTCCAAACTGGAGCACGTGACCCAGCCCTTGAACTTGTCACGAGCCTCCTTGAGCAGCCCTTGTATGCAGCTCTCGAGGTGAGCCTGGTAGTCGGGCCTGGAGATGGAGCTCGTCGAGGAGGACCGCAGCTCCTCAGGGCCCAGCACGGAGCTCTGCGATGTGGACCGGTGGCTGGGGCTGGCCGGCGGGGGGCCTCCCCCGTTGGTGACGGGAGCGCCGAGCTCAGCGAGGCTCATGGGCTGCGTGTCGTGCTCCATGTATGAACTCCGGCACTGGCTCACCATTTCCTCGGGAATCTGTGCGAGCAAGTCCGTGCACACGTGTTGAGACACGTTACAGCCCTCCCTCAGCGCCGAGCGGTTTTCCACCGTTATATATATATATTTTTTTTTAAGAGGTGAAGACTTAAGCGTGTAAGAGCAGAACAATTTCAAGAATGTACGAAGGCCCTTGACTTTAGCACATCTGCCTTGTCAACGTAAACATCCGGTTGTAGCTTTGCCCCTGAAACAATGGTACCTCTATTAATTACTGTCACGCACGAGACGACTTAAATATCGTGTATTACAATGAGAATTGTTGCTATTGCTATTAGTTTACATTTGTAAGCCATCGTTCATACGTTATCCAAATGTCATACATTTTTCTATTATTCTTTTTTGTCATTTTAGTTTACGTACATTTATTTCATTATTTCGTGAGTTTGTTTTTGGGGTAAAAAAATAGAGTGAGTTCATTTTAAAACTATTTTGGACTGGTTTTGCTTAACACGATCAGGTTTCTTTACAAAAGACACTTTAACTCATAAATTAATATTTCAAATTCATTCCAATACTGACCTTGAAGAGCTTCTTGCACTCTGCAATCATGTGAGCCAGGCCTTGGATGGCAGCCAGATTCTCACTTAGGTCCTTCTGATCCGGCTTGCCTGTGCTGTACTTCCTCTGTCGCACCCTGACAATCACATGAATTTACGTCACTCCCTTTGCACTGCAACTCCACGGCACTAGCACGAACTAAACAAGGCAAACGTTTAGAATTTATCTAACAGTACTTGATCATTTTAGCCACAGCATCAGCACACAGTGGCCAACCCCTTTTTAATTATGCCCACTGGATCTTTAACATCTGCAGCAGCATGTGGGCTACTGAATCCATGCACATAAACTCCGTGGCCATTTAAGAAATAAATAGAATGCCTAACTGGGCTCCCCATGAGCAGTGTCACAACCCAGGTATGGTCGACCCATCGTAACCCCAGCTGCATTGGCGCTGCTGCAGTAGCAGAAGCAACTGACCTGGACGTCGAGTTGTCGCGCTTGACGGTGTTGAGGTGAAACAGCGAGGGTGCCAGGCACACAGCGAGGTTCACGGAGCTCATCTGGTTCTCGCCCACGGCAGCCGCCACGTCGCTCAGGAAGTAGAGAAGCGTCTGTAGCGCCTCGCGGTTCTCGTCCGGCAGCAGCATCGTCCCGGCCTGCAGCGCCTGCAGCTGCTGCTCCTTGGGGACGTCTGTCAGGAACAGACACGGCGGTGGCGGCGGCATCAAGCGACGCTCGTTAAGAGCATCAGAACGGCGCAACAAAAAAATGTTTAAAAAAACAACCCTGGAAGCAACAAAAAATCACGGCAAAAACATCTACAAGGGGTAAATGGTTTCAGGCTACTAGGCCGTGTTACTCTATTCATGTACTCATGGGCTGCGGAAACCCAACACCACTTCAATAGCACTGTGTTTGAATGACGTTCTGAAGTTGGTGGTGCCATGGGCATTGACGCAATGCTATGTGGAATGATCGTTTTTGCCTGTGCTGCAGCAGATTTTACAAAATAAAGCAGTATGTATTCAGGTCAGGGGATCCAAAAGTTCTGTAACCTTCCAGACAAACCTCAAGGCTCAATTATACATTCGTATTTTTTTCTAAGCTTCTTAGAGGCAATACATTTCCAGAGTTTGCGCAGAGCTGCCTTTACAAATAAACCTGTGAACTGTGGCTTCCAGTAATTTTTTACATTGGACAAATTTTATTTCATCAAACGGCATTAAAATTGTCAGATATCATACTTTCATACTTTGTATTGTTTTTTTTTTACAAGACGCCACGTTTTTAAAGAAAAGTTTTCTCCCCAAAAAATTGCGTGTCCGATGTTGCACTGCTCCTACTTTGCCAAAAGATACCTCAACTTTTTTATGGTCTGCTTCTAACAGAATTTCACCCATGGGGGAGGGCGCGTCTCTCTCTCTTGCGTGAGAACACCGAGCCACGACCTTTTAATACTCCTTTGGCTAAGTCACGTGGCTCCTATTTGGCTTTTCGGACCAGCCACGCCTCCCCCAAGGGGTACACCGAGTGCTTGGATGCTCGGAGTAAATGTTTAGTGGGTTAAACATTCAACTTCAGCATACACCATAGGGGACTAAGAAAATGGGGAACGAGGGAAAAAAACTATCCTTGAACACACCTGCGTTCGTCCCTGGTATGTGTGAACTCTGTGGCTTCCAGCCCGTGTCTAATAGGAGTGCTGTTAAGAACCTGTCCAAGTGCTTTTTTAAGGAGTAATCCTTGTGGCTCGAACCTCTGAAGGCATAATCACACCCGTCCATGCCATATGTTGGACTGTTTTATCCATTTTAGGCCAACAAGTATGAATAATCCCGGCACTATGTGTTGCAGAAGTTAACATGCAAACATATTACAACTGCCGCAGATGACATCACTAATGGGTATGGGGATCCACCCATCATTCCCAAACTTTCTAAAAAACCCTTTTACTTTATCTTCATCACTGTGAACATAATAATCGATCACTGTGTCATTAGTCAAGTGCTGATGTTTTGAAATCTATTTCCATGCCGAGGCAAACACTTTCGGGGAGACAATGGTGACATTTGAATCACTACAATTGGTAACCAAATGCCAAAATTTTACGCTAAAACCGGACCTCAAACACCAAAATGGAAACCGCACGCTCGCTCACAGCTTTAAGTTAAAATGCGAGGCAAGCTGCGCTCGGAGCCAGCTGCATAAACGGTTTGTGCACTCACATTGATAGATCTGCAGGAAGGTGTCGGCCAGCTTGCTGGTGAACATGGGCTCAGGCAGGTCCCGGAAGTACTGCTTGAGCATGTCGGCCACATCGTACGCCGACTGACCCTCATAGTTGACGCTCTCGGCGCCGGACTCGTTCATCTCCCGCAGCGCCTGGATGCGGGACTTGACCCCCGACTTCCGGAACAGGCCAACCTGTTTAGTAAGAAAATTACAACAACAAAAAACAAGTGAGAGGTTTAATTACATTTCTACATCAATCGTGCTAGGATCTCCTAGCACTGACGGTGCCAGTGGTAGAAATACAAAGCCAGTTAATTTTGTTATGAGATGTATGACCATGTGATATAAGGCCAATCATTTTTAAATGCTAAAATTATAATTATACCTAAAGCTGGTGGATACATTTCTTACATATGAAGTGTATTTGCATATTTATATTTTTTAAAAATGACACTGAACGTACAGAATGTAACAGGCTAGTAGACTGGGTGCCATTTATAAATACATTTACAGCAGCATTGTTAGACGAAATTATGGATTACACATTTAGAAAGTTTAATTGTAATGAACCTCTGGGTGGTCTAAAGGGCAAGAATTGAGGCCAAGCACACACAGGCCAATCTGGGGTCTCCAAGTGGCGCCACCTGGGCCTGTGTTTTAAGCCGACGCGGCATCCAGAAAAGCGGAGAGAGCCCCTCACCTGGTCGAGGCACTGGCTGCGAAGGTAGCGCATTGCCTGCTGGATGCTCTGGGGCAGTGGCTGGCCCGTTCGCTGCACGTTGAGCAGCAGTGGAACGCCAAACACACTGCGGTCCTTGTAGTCTGGAGTGCGCATTCGCCGCATGAACTTGGGAACACCCCTGTCAGCACAGGAGACACAAACCAGCCGCTCACTTTAGCTTGTGACGCGAGTGTCCGTCGGTCCAACAATTTCACGTTAAACTAAAGTGAAAATGCAAGATTATCTTAAAATCTTAATTTATTAATGTTCTTAGAAACTTTGAATGTATCTAATCTCTATGTATATAGAACGTGTATATATATATACACAACAGCGTTTGTGATTGCATTCACTGCAGTTTTTGTAATTGACTGTTACCATGGTAAAAAAATATTCATGTTAACAACAAGTGTTTAATTAGCTTAGTATGTGAACCCCACGTCGACTTGTGTTACACTCATTAAGATGGAATTATAACATTCAGCAAATGTTAATAGCTTTTTTACGTAATTATTGGTTGTTTAACAAGTTCTCACTTGTTACTTTTTTTAAATATTGGTTTTCAAGTTTAACTTAAAAGTGTTTTTGTTTATAATACTGGTGGTATAATATGAAATTTAAAAGAGAATATCATTCATTCAACCCTTTTATGCTGACAACATTATCAGGCAAAGGAGGCGGAAGAGCACGTGACTTTCCCCACGTAAATCAAGGAGTATCATAAATACTTTTCGCAAAATCCGATTAAGGCCTTTTTGAGGTCCTGATCCTTTAATGCAGACTCTTTCCAGAGAAAATAATAAAAGTAATAATTTCAAACTCTCCCTGGCAGCTGCGAGTGGCTTAAAATCTCGTTTAATTTCCAGGAGCCGAGGGGAAAGCCGCTGACCCTTCTTGACCAACGGGACGGGAAGTGGCGGCACCCCGCGGAGACAGCATTAATAACGGGACTGGGGCAGGCTCATTAAACACGGTCACCCCGCCAGCCAGGGGCGGCACAGCCCAGCAGGGCCACCTGCCACAGGCGCCGCCGCCACCGCCACCGGTGTCGTTTCAAGTCGGGGTAATTAAAGTCGACGACACCGTCGACAGCACTGAGGGCAAGGAATCGCGGCCCTTCTGCACTAAAGGATCAGAAACCAGGAGTAAAAGCCACGAATTAAAATTGACGATGCAGAAAAGTGAGCGGTGCCAGAGGTTAGAGCAACGCACGCACTGTGAATACAGTGACCGAAGTTGAGTTCCCGGTAACAGCTAGCATCAGTGACGGAGTGTAATCCGAACTGTTCCTGGGCTCCCACACCCTTCACCAACCTGCACTGACAAATATGGTGAAGTATGCACAGAAAAGCCCTTTTACTGACACGGCGTGAGGAGCCTATCATCCTGCAGTGGATTGATAAAGGAACATAAAACAAATGTATGTATGTTGAACTTTTTTTGCAGCGTACATAACGAGCCATGCTAATAGAAAGTGCAGGGGAAGGACAACGAACTTAACACAAGAAGATATTTGTCATCCTCTCATCAACAAAGGAAAGACTTTTCTCAACTGCTTTTGAAGTGACGTAGTTGCAAATGAAGTACATTCCAACCAGGAATTGTACATTTTTATCATTGCAAGTATACACTTCAAACTGGCTGATTAAATTAACGCACAGCTCAATTCTGCATTCACGTCCCTAATCACAACGTGACTGACTGATGTTTGTGGGTTTTTAGGGAATCCAATTACTCGTTGTGCCTTAATGAGAACCACTGGTGTAAAAAAAATATAAAAAGAGCTATAAGACTCGGAGGTGGGCTTAGGGGCCATGTGCTCAGCGATCCGTGCTGGATAAAACCCAGAACATGGCTCCGGTAATCAGTCAAGTGGGATGAATTCCAGAAGGCATCTGCAGTAACAAGAACCAGGGGGGAGAGAATTTACGCGCACATGTACACGTTGGCGCATCCATGTGGATGCGAGTGCACATGTCGGCGAGTGATTACATGTCCAAAGCGTCAGGTTGGACATTTGCGAAGCAAAACAATTTTCGTAAAAGGAATGCAAGAGGTTTTCCTGAGCAGCCTTCCCCATCCGCTCCTTCTCGCTCACTCCCGTACCCATGTTCCATTATATAACGTAAAGTATTAGCGACTCAATTTTTACTTAAAACTTTTGTGACTGCAGGAATTTATATTCTTTGGTTCTTTCGGTAAAGTGACATAGATAGAAAAAAACATACAAGTAAATTAAATAAAAACTACGACGTTTCGATCACAACACAAGCAATCGCCTTCAGGAGGATGACAATCTTCAGGAGGAAGACGATCGCATGTGTTGTGATCGAAACGTCGTAGTTTTAATTTTATTTACTTTTATTTTGTTCTATCTACGCGGCTTTACCGAAAGAACCAAAGAATATTAGCGGCTATTTGAGATTCCATGAGCAACCAGTTTAATAACGGAGCACCCGGAATGCGTCGTCAGCCATGCCAGCCACGAATGCAGTCTCGATTATAATGATACTTCAGCATTGGCTCATCTTTTCCCCAATGACATTGCGCTCCAACTGTCAAGGTAACAACATGTACCAAATATGATCAAATATCCAGTTCGCTGTGCAACCTGAATAAATATTTGAGCCAAATAACAAATAATCTAAGTGATCCCCATTAAAGAAATTAGCTGTCAAATTCTGATGGTACGCGAGTGTGAACTTTGATTGTGTATTCTGTAATCCCAAAATGTACTTTTTAAAATTAAAAAAATTTGACATGAATATAAAGTGTATCTAAATAATGTAAAATGTACTCGTATGTATAAACACTAGATATGTGAAAAATAATATCCGCCAGAATACAGGCCGACTAAATTGTGAACAACACTTTAAAATATCCTAATCTTTTGGATGGTTTGCAAGTATCCGCTTGCCACCTGGTAAAAAAAAAAATATTTTGTGAACACAACAAGCTGGGCCACTGCTACTTTTCCCAGATAGTGAGTCTTAAAATAAACTAACAAATTAATTAAAAAGTAACTGGATCAATTTTTCTTTTTTTTGCAACGCGATGCCCCTGGAGGAGAGGCTTGAAGTCGGTGAAGGGCCTTGCCGCCAGCATTCCTCTATGCCCCCCAGCTCAGACGGCTCGGGCCAAAGAGAGCTGTTATGCAGCAGGGCTAATGAAAAACAGCTGCTCCAGAGCCTGGCTGCACTTCCCCCTCCCTCATTCACAGCCCCCTACTAAAGCCCCCAGCAGTTACACCACATCCCCCTCGCAGAAACTCACCCACCCACCCCCACACCAGCACCAACCACACACTCCTCACCCCCCCCCCCCCCAATGTGTTGGGGCAGAGTTATGAAAAACTTTTAAGAAGAATGAAAAGGGAATTTGAACCCCCCCCCCCACACACCCAACCCTACCCAAAAGGCATATTCCCAAATCCTTGTCTGGCCAATGGAGCTAGAGAAAAGGGCAGGCCTCGGAGTTATTTTTGAGGGATTCACCATGTAAGACCTTGCTACACACTAGCCTCTCAAACTACTCTGCCAACAAAATAAACAACAGGTAGAAATAAGGATGACAAAAACTGTCTATGTAAAGTGTTTTTTTTTACATCCATTATTGTCGTGCTACCACCATTCATCATAATCATTATTTCCAAACCTGTTACACTACAAATCTGTCCTTTTAAAATAACCAATTAAACACTCATGGAATTTCAGCATATGGAATGCTGAGACCAGTTACTCCCCCAAATGTGGGTTCTCGATGGCTACTGCGACTGAAGAAGCCAAACTCCTTCCCCCGAGGTTCCTGCGGCATTCACCTTGTGACTGGCGGCCTCTGCCGTGTCGTGCACTCTTTTCACAATTCTCGCGTCTGTGTAAACAACGAAGATCTCACCAAGGCAACCGCTGATGTGCCCTATTGGGCCACGCAGCCGCTGGTATTATCGAGGAACACATTCAATGCCCAGTTGGCATATTTGATGTGTAATGGACAATTGACACTTCTCCACCTTGCCCCGTCCGCCTCTCCAATGTCGATTGTAAGAAGTGACAAAGGCCATTCAACCCGGGACGCTTGTTTAACCATGAATAAAACCACCGGATGCACATAGTTTGATGTTTTACAGCATTAACTCATTCTTAGAGCAGTGAATAAACAGCGTAACATTAAGAACAGTCAGGCTTGAGGTGTAAATGTCACCCCGGGTTATATACTAGCATAATATCGTGACTACTCTTGCATGCCATTGGGTTGAGCAACCACCCACCACATTCTGAACTCTGTACACACATAAACCCATAGGAGTGTCTGGGTTCATAATCATCATCGCCTGCACTGGAGAAGCAGGGTAGGAAGATGCGATTGGTCCCCAGGCAAAGAGAAACTTAGAATAATAAGTGATGATAATGTGAGGGCAGCGATGCAACCTTCTTGTTGAACGCATTCCAAGTTCCCTTTTTCGCTCACCTTTCTGAGTCTGTAAGCAATCACAATGCCCTTCTCAAAGTCCTTTCCGTTCCAGCATAACTGTTAATATTTAGCCCTCTTCATGTGTTTTTTTACGGAACGTTGTTTTCTGGTGCTCTTGACTAGAAACCACCCTTTACTTAGCTAGGGGCCGTTGTGGTGTGTCACTGGGCATTCCTTGTTAGGCTCAAGCTTCTTGAAAGACCAAAGGCAAATAAATAGAATATTAAAATAAAATTTCCATTCCCACAGGACGATGATAAATTTTCCTTTAAAATGCAATTCGCCCGAGTCAGAAGCAATGCTTGCAATAAAATGAATTGGATCACACAGAGCACACATGGGACACAGCAGCGTGACTGGTGCTCACCACCTAAATGAAATGTAACTTCCGTCCAAGCCAAAAAACCTCAACAAATATTTGAAGCAAACGCTGTAAATAAACAACCGCAGAGCCACAGAAAACATTATTAAATGTGAAGTACTGACTGGGTTATATGAAGCCCCACATTCATGTGGCTCACATTCCAAATGTTACAGAGTTGGCTTTTTGTACTACAAAAACAAGAACAGATTATTTCCCAAAGGATTGCTGTGCGTATATATATATTGCAACAAGTGTGGAATTTATATAAAACACACCTAAAGGTAAAACAAATATATAACATACACAGCACTAAGCCAAAGATCACCCATTTAGTTCTAAAGACTACTGGGGACGTTAGGAGAGCAGCTTCTATGGCTGACATGGCACATGGGCGAGTGGTGTGGCCACAAACACTCAAACCCACCTTTCTCTCTGTTAACATGGTACCATGTGCTTGTTTTTGGCCGAGACCACAGAGGAGAGATCCAAGCCAAATCAAGAGACGAATTGCCACTGCTGTGTAAAGCCACAAATGGAATTCGTTTTGCAGATATAGTTTGGTAGTGCACTAATCACTAGCATATGATCCGTGGTCACAATTGGATTCAAGAATAATTTTTTAACGTAAGTGGTGCTGTCTCCTTTGAATTGTTTGTCTCATTTGTTCTACTTTGTTCCACTTAGTTCATTCCATGAGCTTAAAAGGCTAACATTAGCATATACATTGCATGAATCATATACAATTAAACCGTTCCCACCCACATGAAATTCTGCACACATTATTCACAATAATTGATATGAATCACTGAATTGATGAATCATTACATGCCTACCATACGTACACATATAGAGCTGTGAACCGCACATCTGTATGTACTGTGCAGGCAAACGGTGAATACATGTTTTGGTGGATTGGACTGGTCTGGCTTGAGTTGGGGATAATTGTGGGAAGGAACCATGTCCGGCACACTGGGAAGGCAGCTCACTCGCTCTATAACAACGTGAAATCGGAGACGCTCAGAGCGAGTGATTTGGGCAGGGGCTCCGTGTGAGCCAGGGGATGTGAGTGGAACAAGCGTTCCCAGAGAGAGACTGCGCATTTACTACCACCACCACTAAGGCAATTGCTCTCAGCACAATCACTACCACCCCTCATCAGCACCACTCAAACCACCATGACAAACATCACTAATATCGCCATCACCAAAATCACAACCATCCACGCATCTGACGTCACCATCACAATTACCATCACTAATATTGTTATTACCATCACTAATATTATTATCAACATCACCACAATCATCATCACTATTTTCACCACCACCAGCACCACTTAAACACCACCACACTACTCGCATTCTACAAAGCACCATCATCACCATACCACGATCACTATCACCACAATCGAAACTAACATCACCACCGTCGCTGCCCTGCCAACACCGCCCGCTATGACGATCGCGAAGGCTCACGCGAGGAATCTCAGTCTCCGAGGCTACAAGGGTCATCATCAAAGGGCATGGTGACCAAAACCAGCAGGAGCGTAAAAGGCGGACGGAAAAGGAGGGAAGAAAAAACCAGGCATGATGAACTGTCGCGTCTTTGCTTTGAAGTGGAGACAGCTTGACTAGCACCAAACGTCCCGAGGTAACATTCATTACGGCCTGCCGGGGCCTGTTTCCACATTTCCCAACCCCCGAACGGAAGAGCCTGAAATGTGCTCCTACTTGGGACTTATCAGTGCCCTTTCTTCTTCTTAATTTATTTATTTTATTGTCGCTTAGAACACAACTATGAACAGCTGGGAGCTTAACAACTTAGTGCTGATGATGGGTCGATTTTTCTCTTATTTTTAAAGTGTAAACATCACGTTAAGTGTAACAGCAGGCCACATGCTTCACCACCATGTGAAAAAAGTATAATCCGTTTGCTTACATTTTGCTCAGCCTTTTAACATCTTAAGATCATTGTTTTAAAAGCTTGTATTTGTGTTAAGACAAATACACCTAAATCAAGACCGCCCTGATTCATTACTCAGGCCAAAACAATGTAAATTAAACAGCTCTTCTTGAAAGACCCACCATCTTTGTTTACACAGTGATAAACCACAGAAAAAAATAGCAAAATTCCACAAGGAAAAAGGCACGAATCTACACACCGACACGAGCAGGGGCCATGTACAGCAGCGTCAGAAAATCACCACAATTGGCTCCGCTCTCTCACCAGTTCCAGCCCTGCTTGTTGGAGGGCGAGTACCGCTCCATGAGAGCAGTGAGCCGCAGCAGGGAGAACTTGCGCACCAGGCTCATCTGGGCCACCGACTGGCTGTTTATCTGTAGTGATGCCGAGTTGAGGCTGGGCCGGTGCGATGTCTGGAAGCTGTGCCAGCGCAGTCGCTGGCGTCTGTGGGTCCAGGACGCAAGGTGGGGGTCACAACGGGGTCAGGCGATTAACGGTGCCGAGCACGGTACTAGCGAGTCAACGTGACAGTCGACCGATTTTTTTACGTTCATTTTATTTGACAGCACAAAACTTCAATGGTGGTGTATGTTTATGAAAATTATTCTCCACATTTTACGATTACTGTTCATGATGCGCTCGAAATGGTGATGGTAAAGGTGCACCCCTGCAATTACTTGCTCATGCTACTGCTGGTGGAAAAGCCTTCAGCAGAGGGATCTCTAGAGATCTCCTCTCAAGAGTATTTTGGCCTACTCGTCCACGATAGCCAGATGTCTTGGAATAAATGGGAGTACCCACACTTTACCCCACCACACTCGACATGTCAATAAACTATGGAATACCCATTTACATTTCTGGATGGGCATAGATGGGGGAGGCTCTCATTCAGCAGTTGTTTGACGAAAGTAGTAGCTATACATGTCTCATGGTGTCAAACCATTTGTACTACGGATTGGATTATTGTGTTTGTGGCTCCTCTGTCCACAGACTCGCAGTTCCTCACGAGCAACGGCGAGTGGATTGACAAAGGTGCTGTGCACGTGTGTTCATGCACAATGCAGCAGCACTGCGTGCCCATGTGTTAAGTGGGGGAGCGGTGCTCTTGCTGACCGATTGGGCCTGGCCACGGACTGCCCGGTGCTCGACTCGCGCCGGTCCTGGATGCCCGAGTCCTCAGAGTCGATGAGCGACGTTCCCGTGCTCTCCAGGTCGCTGGGCGGCGTCGTGCGCCCGCTCGTGCTGCGCGACACGACATGGTTCTCTCATTTAAATCACCGTCGCCCATGTGAAAAACACTGCTGCTCAGAAAAGTAGCGCTCAAGCCAGTGGGGAGAGCTAACGTTATCCCTAAAGCCAATGCTCTCCGGCAGCCTTTTCATTGTGAAGCTTACGACCTGCAACTTAATTTTCAGGGCCAGGTGATGCCTACCGCTTTGAAATGGTCCGCAAAACGTAACTTATCTGTCGCTGTAAACGTATGAACCACACTAATCGGGTACTCGAGAGGGTAATATATTTGATCACCCTCTCGACCCCAAAACCAATTCTGCTTGGTGGCGGTATTTACTTTACTACAGCATCATGCGAGGTGAGAGAAGTGCACTTGGTTGGCTTCAAGCATGGATGGCATGAAGACAACCCGCCCTTCCTTCAATGACCCCCATAAAGTTTACAGAGCCATTCCTCGTGTCTTTTTTTGTACTCTTCGGAGGTCACACTCCAAAAATGTTAAACGCCATCAAATGCTAAGCACGTCGCTGTGGTATGTCGCTGTGGATGAAATTGCGATGGATAGGCGTAGGATAATAATTGGATTTCTGATTGTGCACCTTGGGATGGATTCCAGACACTCACACGAGACTTCCAGCTAATGCTGGCTAAGTGGTTGGCATGAGGCGTGTCAAGTCAACCTGCTGGTATGCACACCAATGCAGTCTGCAGATCTCTGAACTATGTGAAAGGTGGCATTGCAAATTTGCTGACGTGTTTGTGCTTTATTCCATGACATCCTTTTCTAGCGATTCCAAGTGCCTCACCCCCTTGGGTTCGTTGTTTTAGAAGCCTGTGCGTGCGTGTGTTGTTTCTAAAGACAAACACGCCTTAAACAGGGCTTTGGTGATTCATTACTGAAGCCAAAACAGCTTGAAGTCAACGGCGAGCATACGTCTCTATTGATACAATGGTAAACACGTGCACGAACATTAAGCAGCCCGTGGATCTGAGCTCTCCTTTAAGCCGCGTGTCCTTTGCCGTAACCTATGCCCACCCTACACTGTTCTTCATCCACCCTTGTCGACTTTGCCACATGACCCACTGTAACCTGCACCCCAAACCCCATGTTCTGTACCAACCAATGTCTACCCATGACTCATGCCTAATTGTACTCGCTCATACAATACTCGCCCTCACATGCTACCTGTGTCTTATGACCACCACGTGCTGTGTTCCCAGCTATGCGCACCCATTCAGGGTGCCCTCCTATGCCTACCCACAACCCCGTGCCCACCCTTACCTGTTGTACGCGTCGCCATCGAGCTCCATGTGTTGGTGAGGTGACGACGCGGGCGAGTTGCAGGTCGAGTCTCGAGCCGAGTCGGAATCCTCGGGCTCGTCGGGCGAGAGGCGTTCCGTCCAACGGCTCACCATCTCCTGGAGGCCATTCACCTGTGGCACCACAGGGGCATAACCGGTCAGCGTGTTCAGCTCGTGTGCGGTAGTAACAATCACGTAAATAAGAGGGTGGCTTTTGAAATATCTCATTACCTGCTGAAGAATGTCGTCGAGCTGCGAGAAGACCCGTCCATTGTTCCCCGCGTCGCCATCACCGTCCTCAGCCCCCGAGGAGGAGAGGTCCCCGGCGGCGGCGAGCAGCAGCAGCTGGGAGGCAGGAACGTTGTCGTAGACGCTGAGCCGGCTCGCCATGGAGCTGCACGAGTTGGTTCTCCGCCGGCGCTCTCCGCGCTTCGGCTGCTGCTGCTGCTCGTCAGCGCCAGCGCCGCCCTCGCAGGAGGCGCGACTGCCCGAGTTGAAGCTGCCCGTGCGCCAGGTGACGGACGAGAAGCTGTCGCTCGTCGCTAGGCTCTCGTTGGACAGCGTGCGTGGGAACGTGCCGGGCTTGTGATCCTTAGGCAGGTGGATCACCACGTCCTTTGGCGAGCGCGGCGGCCTCGCAGCCGGGTCCTCGTCGCCATCACACAGGTGGCCCGTGAGCGCGTCGAAGTCTCCCAGGTACATCCCACCACGCTTGCTGCTCGCCCCGCGGCCCCGCACCGACCCGCTCTGCCCGGCCACATAGCTGCTGCTCCTCGCCGGCAGCTGCGCGGTGCCATTGCCGTTACCGCCGGTGCCGCCGCCACAACCGCCAGGGCTGTGTAGGAGGAAAGACGACTCGCTTTGGCTGCGGTCACGCGCCACGCCGGCACTCTTTGCCTCGGCGATGTCCACGCAGTTGAGGCGCCGCAGCGTCTCCTCGGTGGGGCCACCCTGCAGCGACACCGGCCCGCTGATCACGAGCCCCTCCACCTTCCCGCCACTCACGCGCCTCTTGTGGCTGTGGCCCTTGGCGCGGAAGTTCTCCATGCGCTTCAGGAGGCTCTTGGTCCTGGAACGCGGCTGCGGTTTATCGGCAGCCGGGGTTGGGACCGAGAGGGTGAAGGCAAGCACCGGGTGGTTGGTGGCATCCTTCAACACCTGCGCCGCGTCGGCGGCCTCCGACGGCCACTTGGAAGGGTGGACGCCCGCAGCCATGCCGGCCCCGGGCCCACCCTGGTGGCCGAAGCGGCAGTCGTCAAGCAGGCCGTTGTTGCTGCTGCTGCTCTCGCTGTGGATGGAGGTGACCTCCTGCTGCTCGCTCAAGTCCGTGAGGAGGCTCTCGTGGCTCGGAGACGAGTCCTTGAGGTGGCCGCTCTCAGAGCAGCTCACGTCCGAGGACAGCGAATTCTGCGAGAACACCTCGAAGTCCTCCAGCCTCGACCACCTCCTGCTGGCCCGCTGGAACATCCACTTGTCACTGATGGCGCACAGGTCCTCGTCGTCTGAGTCCTCACTCTGAAACAGCAGCAAAAGAAGCCGTCATTCACTCATAATGGTGGTGGTGGTGGTGGTTCTGCAAAGCTTCCAAAACATTACTGCAGGCTTTTACCTCATCAGAGACACCAGCCTGCAGTCTCGTGTTTTATTCAAAGTTCAAATTAAAACGTAGCCACGTGCTCACACATCACTAAGATATTTAAAATCGAACTGATCGATATAAGCTCAAACCAATCTTTATGAGAATGACAATTAGATACATTTTTTTAATAACAAAATCATAACATTTGCAAATCTTCAAATCTAAAAATTTGCAAATGAACTTTGCAATGTATCTCCGTAGAGACCGAGCCTGAACAAGCTCCGATTTTATTTGGCCGGATTGGAAGCACACGTGTAAGGAGGTAATGCGTGCTCAAGTTAAGCACTCGGTATTTACCCGTTTTCTTGGCGAGCCTCGGTCTAGCTTCATGGATGCACAGTTGTTGAGGGTATTCAACCTCCTGCAAGAGAAGGAGATGCATGATGAGTCTCGGGAGAGAGTGAAGTAACTGCTTACGGACTGGTCCATGCAATCACAGGTGAGACTCGCAGGTTAAACTCATCACACCAGTCGATGCATCGACGGCCTCTGCAGGTTGCTTTTGTTAGGCGAATCAAAACGCTGTGACGTGTGGTGCTGCGGTCGTGGGAGAGATCAGCCCGACACTGTAATAAAACCCCGACTGAAGCCGCATCGCTGCACAAACGGGCATTCGCACCAACAGCTGCCCGCACATGGTGCTGGCATCAGCTCACATCACTTCTGTAAACACCATCCACACACCCGTGAAGCCGCGAAAACCACATTATTTAACAAAAAAATATATACGCGACTGCAAGAAAAACGATCACACGTGAACGGAGCCTCTATTTCAAGACGAAGGACGTCACTCATCCCTAGCGCCACGAACAAGGCGTGTTCCAAACACACGCCCGTGGACGTGTATTGTTTTTCCCGACGGAATTTTGGGACGCTGTAAAGGGCACGCTTCGCGCTAATGAGCCACGCTCGGAGCCCGGGCCGCCAAGCGAGGTGTCTCTCCCACCGCGCCGAAACACACACCAATCACGCTGCAGCCTTCGGCTCGGAAAATGGAGCGCTCGGAGCGTGCAAGGAATGTAAATATGGCCCTGACGAGAGAGAAAGGCCTCCAGTGGGTTTAGAGGCCCCTCTCTCTCCACGGTGTCAACGGCACGTCCACACGCATTCCCCTTTTCTTTTAGTTTCCAAGCTCCTCCAGGCAACAGCCCCAACGAACGAGAATCCAAGCCTAAAGCAAACACGGCGTGCATTTCGAAATTCCAAGGCAGCAGTGGCCTTTATTTCACCCAAGCAAAATGTGGACATAGAAACAATAAAATATAATAAACTAACGCAATAAAACCTGACACAATATATAACTTACACCACGGTGTATGACAGCTGTATAGTTAAGCAATGGTGCTAGAGATGGGGGAGATGATAAGTCTTTCCTGTTAGCTATGCAAAGAATCTTTATGCCTCCACCTCTGGCCCCTTGTGCCCAGAGTAAACCAGTGCGGCACATTTGAATATTTATGCTGTAAACAAAAGGCGAATAAATGCAGTTACCATTAACGTGGCTTACAAAAGGCTCCTGCAATACTTGAAGAAAAATACTCTGCAGATTTTATTACGCAGAAAGTTGTACCACCTGTACTCAAACAAAATGTGCTTTTACCTGTGGGCAGGCTATTAAGATTCACAATTGAAATTCCTCTAGGCAACCTATGTTACTGCTGTCAAATGACTTTCCACTGGGTCCAGGACACAGCAGTAATTTTAAACCAATCTCTAGTTTTTCCCACTTACCATAAACAAATGTGCCGACTCTCAGAAATCTCAGATAATTTCATTACTCTCTGCGGTTAAATTTTGCTTGTTATTTTTACTCTTTACGGATGTCTTTGTCTTTAATTCAATTCCAATTCATAAGTCCCAAGGCAGGTTGGGCTAGCCAGCCAAAGTTGAGATCGAAGTAAAAAAAAGGGGTTTCCATTCGCAGCTGTGTTTGTCTGCTTAATGTATGCCGACTTTCTCCGTGGGTATAAATATTTCAGCGAGAGCTCTGCATTTGACGTGCGCACCTGCAGAGGGCCTCGATGGAGTCGCTGTCCAGAAAGTCGTGGTCCTTCACCACGGACCTTATGCTGATGGGGAACTGTGAGTCTGTAGACAGAATAGCCACAAACACGACAACAACTCGTTAGATATGAACGTTGTGATGTGGACAGAAAGGCAACACTATTTGTATATGTACAGCCACTTTTACGCTGCTGCAGAAGGGCCTCCCTCCATGCTGTGCGGGTCATGGAGGTTACTGGACCGTACTTCACCACGCTGCTCAGTGCGGCTTGGTAAACCAAGAGAGCATAGATGCGTGAGCTATAAGAATGTATTTTCTGCACTGCCCTCTGCTATCCACAACATAGCTCACAAAGCGTACAACACCTGTTATGGATGATGTTCGCCCATCCAAGCACTATCCAGGCTCAAGCCTGTCTAAATCCTGACATCTGACGAGATCCAGCGCATTCCTGTTGATATGGGCTATAGCTCAAATACTATAAACTTAATCTAAAAGACAATTACATAATGATACATTCTTTTGTTTTTAGTTGTATTGAGCATGCGAATCCCCGAATTAACACATCGCAGCTCCAGTGCTGAAAGCTTTGTTTTGCTGGGTCATCATTGCTCAGTCAATCACCGCAAGCTGTCATGCTTGTGTCGCCCCGAGTGTGTTACCGTGTACGTTGCCGCGCGTTACCACGTGCGTTGCCGCGTCCACACCTGCACATGCATTACACGAGCATGCTTTTGTTTGTGTGCGCATCTTACCCTCATACAGCTGTGCATACTGGGGAAACCCAGCTGCTCTCAGCCAATCGCACGCCTCCTTGGCCTCCAGCTCTGTAGGCACAAAGAGACAAGACAAAGATCCCCCGTTTAGCCATTATGCTTTCACAGGAGATGGTTTTAAAGAGCACTTATATTAAGGGCTGCGTGGCATGAGGGATGTATGGCCAGCATTATGTACTCCTAGCCACATTTGCATATCCCATTCTAATGTCGATCAAACTGCCCAAAACACTCATTTCAAGTCTCACGTGGGTAGAGAAGGTCCCCCAGTTCATAACGGCATGGTCCCGTTCACAAGGTGGTAAGAGAAAATATTCCCAGGCAGCATTAATTGGTGCACAAACCTCTGTGTAAAAAATAATGCCCCAGTATTAACCCAGCAGACGACCCACGAGAAAATGTAACTCTTTGAAATGAAATGGGACATTTTTAGCCAGCTTGTTAGCTCCCTTGCAACATTCCTTTTTTTCTCCCTGGGTACAGGACCCAGCACACTTGAGATGCATGGGTGGCACATGGAATATATTCTCATGCGCCGACTTATTTACACAATTGCCAAGTGCCAGGCGAGGAGCGGCATTATTCCAAGGTGACGGCAATGTTTACACACAATGCAAAAGCCTTTACATGGGCATAGAAGAGAGGGGCAGTGCGGGGGCGTGATCCTCATAGCCAGCATCCCTACTTTAAGCAGGGCAGATTGCAATCTATAAATCCATTATGCACTTCCTAATAAACAAAGGCTGCAATGCTAAGCCAAACAGTACAGGGGATATTTTTTTTAATCTAAAAGTTTATTTTTTCCAATTTTTTGTAGAAGGAATTGCGCTGTAGCAGCCAACCGCACAACTACTGGTCCATGGTCACCCGCCCCCCCCATGTCCCCTCCCTGCAGAGGTTGCACCCCCCCCCCCCCACCGCGTCCCCGTTCTCTTTTATCCTGGCCCTGCCGGCAATGTCAGAGTGCGAGTTTGAAGATCACAGCGTTGACACTGCCGTGCCGATGGGTTGGGGTTGACGGTCATGCTTCACTTTACTGCGCTCCCGTATCGAAGCCCACACAGCGCACAGCTCGAGGGCAACTCGCAGACAAACCCGAGCCATGGTGACCCATGAGCTTCTGAATTTTCAAAACAGCCGTGTCATTCAGGCCCATGTATTTGGTTAGTAATGGATGCAATAAAAACAGGAGCCGGTACATGAATGGCTTTCACGCGAGCCTCTGCGTTTAGTGGAATTCACTACGTCGTGTCCGATTGCGTTGTGACCCTGGAGCCATTTAATTGAAACAAAGCGTCGCTTTCAAAGTGGCAAGCAGAGCACTTAACGTCGATGCCAATGCAGCTCGCACCTCCTCAATAACGAGGTCGTGTCAACAGCTGAAGTGACCCACATGTGACTTATTGCATAATATACACTGTGCATTTGAAAGGTAAAGGTGCAGTCCTGCAAAATCTCGCTCAACTCACTCGTGGAAAAGGGCCTCCACCAGAGGGAGGTCTATAAAACCCCCTCTGGAGGGTGTTTGTCTACTCCATGCCGACCAAACGTCTTGGAAGAAGTGGCAGTACCCACACTTTACTCCACCACAAGGCCTGCCGATTTGACCATCTGTGGTGTACCCTATTTCTAAAGCCGAGCGGACGGAGGTGTTGGGATTAAAGAAACTTGCCCCATTGTTTCGACTGCTGAGGGCCCAAACTGTTCAAACCGGCAACCTCTGGATTGCAAATGCAGTGTTAAACATTACACCACGATAACATACTTACTGTACGTACGCGTGCATGAACTTTGCATGTTGGTTACACAAAGTAAATGCATGAGTGCATAATATTCATACAAATTTCTCTCGCTTTTGCCACCATTGTAAATCTATTCAAAAATGCTTACTAATGCGCCCATTAAAACAAACAGAGATGGCGAGATGGGCAGAGAAAGAAAGGAAATAAAAGGAAATCTAAAACAATACCAGTTAAAAATGTAAACGTGAAACATGCCTTTGTCTCGCCGGCTCTACTTGTGGCCAGGACCTCCGTGGGTAAAGCGTTCAGACCGAATGTATATTTTTTCCCGCCTGCTATTGTTCAAATGCTGTTATTTTCTGCCATCCGGCTGGCGCTCTGGAATGTCTCGCAGGAGTTTTACTTAAAGAGGAGAAGGAGGAGCTTGGGAAGATGAGAGAGTTCACGGAGAGCTGCCCGGAGAGAGGCAGCAGTTCACCCCGGCCCAGCTCCACCACGAGCCAGGGCACAGGGTGTGTACGGGGGGGGGGGGGGGGGGCAGCAGGAACCGCACATAAATCACATCCAGGGCAGGAAGGTCGACCACGGGCAAAGAATTCCATCATAATAAGACATAACCGAATTAAATAATTAATGGAGAGCAGGAAAGAAATTTAAATAGGGAAAAAGAGTAAGAGAATAACAAGACGATTTCAAACTCGGCCTTGTAAGTAGAGCAGGCCAAGTATTAGCAAGTGTGCGACTGCCAAAGCACACACGTATTGTTTCCCATATTCAACTGCCAATGAGTAAAAATGAACAGTTTGTTTTTAAACTACTTGCAATCGAGAAGGCTGAACTTCAGAGTTCGTCCGTGAAGAAGGGCAACGATGTGAAACATTGGCATTCATTTCATAAAATATATTCAACATTAATGCGATGCTGGTGGCAGATTTCATGCGTCTTATATTACATAAACTGGCACAGACAAAATAATTTAAAAGTGATAACAATACTTTTTTTTAAGCTGCCAGAAAAAACAAGTTATCTGTGCAAAACAACCAAATCTGGACTGGTTAAAAGAGCGGATTCTGTCTTGTAAATGAATATGGATTGTTGAAATGTCATCATTGTTATAAGGCCAATAAATATATATTGAAGTCAAATAAATAGATCGGATAAGCAATGGGGAAAGGGCCCCAGTGGTTGCTCATTTCAAACAGCGTCACCCTGCGCTGCGGGAGGGCCCTGACAGGTGCAGATGTCAAGTGACACTACTGGAAAGCAGGGGCCCCCCCGACGACTGCAATCGAACCGAGATTCATGGAATCGAAGCTCACAGTTCAAGGGAGAATTTCATAGGATTAAAGTAAAAAAAGGAAAGGGACTGCTGGCTCGTGGCATGGACAGATAGTGTGGAAAGAGAATGCATTCCGTGCTCTGGATAAAGAGACACTAATATACGTCTCAGTCTGTCCGACTTTGAAAGGTGCACACTTCAATGAAAACCCACTTTTCCCCGTCGAAAATGAAAACCACTTGCGTGCGAGCTGGTGAAGGACTGCCGGTCTGGAGTGCGGTGGAACGTTTAAAGTCAAGTGAGCAACGAGGCCCGGTAAAAAAAAAAAAATTGCCATAAAACTGTCCACAGCTTCATTAAAAAGAAACTGGAATGTGCCTACACAGTTGAAGTTAAGAATTGAAAAAAACAATTTAAGACGTCAAATTAAAACTGCATTTATGGGTTCGGCAGCACGCGGTGGAAAGTTTTAACGCAAAAACACGTTGACTGAAATGACGTTGAGTTTCAGTGAAATATTTCAGTGTGAGTTTGGCCTGGCTGCATGTGTCATTATCGTGCTTCCTCTCCTACCTACACAGCTCATTTATCATGCGTTTCAAAGAAGCTCCATGGCATCCGCTTTCTTATGGCCAGTTTGACCTGAAATTCCCAAAATTCTTATTTTTTTCTTGGATATTTTTTAGGGGGGGGGGGGTTCCAGAGAAAACCCATTCAGGCATGCACTGAGGGCAAGTAGTAAGCTTAAAGACTCACGGAAGGGTGGTGGCATTAGAAGCACATGTCCATTGGCGTGAGTTGGTGAAAAAAAATGCTCTTTGCAATGTAAACAGCGAGGTGGAACAAAAAGGAGTACTCAGCCAGAGGAGAGGCTCCGGACGGGGCATTACATATTTTAAATGCCTGCCACGCACAGCTTACAGCGCCCGTGTGTACACAAGAGTACTAATGCACACTCGCAAGAACACAAGCGCACGGGCGTACCAATGTGCGAGTGCTTGCACGCCCGCGAACACGCACAATTATGCGAGTGCACGTGTAGTGCTTGCGCACGTATGGCTGTAGGAATGTATGTTCAGACACACAAATGCTGCGTTACGATCGTGCGTTGTTTTTTGGAAAATTTACAGAGCTGTTCCAAAGGCTTGGTCGTTGTACTCTCTTAAATGGAGACCAACTTTTAAAACGTACACACAATATGGTATTTAGACTATGAGGAATGAGCGAAATGGTACGTAGAAGTTATGCATTACCCGAACTTGGATGCAATGCCAGAAGTACTGTACATCATCAGCCAGCACACACATCGTTTTGATTATATGCAGGCCAAAGGCATTAACAAGAGATGCTTAAAATCTAGCGGTCAATGACTGATGGGGGTTGGTGGCTTAAGGGGGATGAAACACCTGTTTGGCACATGGAAAAGAATTCCAGACGTTACCAAACTCAAACCTAAACACTGCAAAGCACATGGTTACAAGACGGCTCAGAAGCCAATATATTTTACTTAAACGCTAAATCACCCAGAATTTCATGTGTGTGACCTAAGGAGATTATGCCCCATGGAACTACATTGATAAAGACAATGATCACATTGCCTTTATCAATCGCACATTTATTATTTACAAAGCTTTCAATCTCAATTCACCATTAAAATTGTCATAACTTGTATAACTTTAACATCATCATCAACCTAATTCTAAAATATCATCAACAGAAGCCACTATTTTCTATATACTATGAGTAGAAACATTCTGCAAAATATAATACATCAATCCTATTTTTAAGGATGCAAGCTATTATTTTATGAGACAGCACATGAGAGACTGCACAAGTGCATTATACACATTTTTTACAGATCCTATTTAATACCATTCACCTTGGCTTTTTCGTTGCTCATTTATAAAACGCCAAAGCAGATGTTAATGTACAAAACGATCTTACGTCTGTCCTCGTGTGCCTCCGCCGCCAGTCGCTAAGAGATCCCACCACCGCATACAAAACAATGGCACGATAGCAACCCAATGATG